AAAATGTATGTGTGTCTGTATGTATGTGTCTACCTATTTGGCCCTACTATGGGGCATTTGACCACTTTTTGTGGCAAAAATGAATAACTTCCAAACAAAACAATATTTTTTTATTTGATATTAGTTCATATTAGTGAGAGGAAGGTATGCTAACAAAATGAGCTTGACAATGCCTTTCTTCAGTGTTAACTGTGCCGAGACGCTTCTTACGAGTCACAACTTTTATACCCGGTACTCAGTCAGTGTACCTTTTTTCGAATTTTACATTTGACACTTTAAATTTTTTCTACATCAGTCATATACATCTAAGTATACACAGCTTCTCACGCCAGCACGCCCTTTTAGCTCGCCCCCCTCCCATAGAACCGCACACAGCAGAGGCAGAGCACTACGGTCCCAATGACCACTTTTCTTGTCCTTAATAACTCGCGAACGAATCAAGATTTTTTAATTTAGTCTTTTGATAGTAGTTAAGAATAGCAAGAGGAAGGTTTTTAAAAAAAAATAAAATTACATTTCATAATATTTTTCTCAAAATTTTAAATGCAAAAAAAGGATGGGAATATGTTTAGCAGATCAAGATTCTATACAAAAAAATCGTATCACGAATTAAAAAACTTACAAATCTAAGATAATCGAATTTGTTCTTCCACAAAGCATGCTCTTCCATTATAGAACAATATTACTCTGGCTACACTCTAGCCCTCCAAAATAGCTAGTGACTAATACTGTGGCTTAAATGCAATGGTACCCTACTTCACAATTGTCTTCTTTATTGTGTTCCAAACGGCAAAAAAAAACATTGAAATTTCTCATTTGAGGTTATGATCTATAAATCACACAAAAGGTTTCTTGGTGGGACTAGGTGGCGGATCTGTTAAAAAACCTTTTTCAAAAATTAGTTTTCACTACGAACTGATACAAATTTAAGGCCTCACTTTGACATACAATTACGAAGACATCAAATGCATCAACAAAATTGGATCAGTTAATCGTATTTTTCAATTCATGAGATATATAAAACAGCAATAAAATTGGTAGTTTTCCCTGCACACGCTGTGCAATAATGACCGCTAGGTTTCACAGCAGATTTTTCGAAGGTGGCTCCATCTATGAAAATTTCTGGTACGCGGTTTTGATGTTTAATCTTTTTTTTTCAGCACAGAGCGCCAAAAACCGCGTCTTGGTTTAAACATTTAAAAACGAGAAGGGACGTGTGAGACGCTTCTTAAGCGTCACAACTTTTATACCCGGCACTCAGGACTACACCTAGATGTAGAAGACATCGCCAACCACTAGATATCGTTCACATTACAGAACACGTAGTAAAAAGCCTAATAAAATAAAATGCATCAAAAATATTGGATCAGTTAAAATCGTATTTTCCAATTTATGAGATTTTTAAAACAGCAATAAAATTGGTACATTCTTGGACCGATTGGACCGGTTTCACAGCAAATTTTTCGAAAGTGGCGCCATATATGAAAATTTCTTGTACGCAACTTTGATGGTCCAATGGTCTGCACATTCTGTGCAATAATGACCGATAGGTTTCACAGCAAATTATTCGAAATTGGCGCCATCTAGCGTTAAAACCCGAGTCTTGGTTAAAAGTCAGAAGAGTCTTCGCCAGGGGGAGGGCAGAGGCAGGGGCCGAGTGAAGCAGAAGCAGAGTGTGAATGAGAGAATGTAAAAAGAACAACAAAAGCTGCGGGACAGGATGGGTTTAGCCACTGCAAATTAATTTCTCCATTGTGGCTATAATAATGATCCGATCGGATCCCAACACTTTTGTCGGCTAGTTCTCAGAGACTATAAGAGTTAGAGCCACCAAATTTTGGCTCCAGACTGCTGTATGCTCACACTGAAACCAGTGTATTTGAAAAATTAGCCCCGGCCCCTTCCGGTTTTACCCTTTTGCCGGGGCGGGGCTAATTTTTTAAATACACTGGTTTCAGTGTGAGCATACAGCAGTCTGGAACCAAAATTGAGTGGCTCTAGCTCTTATAGTCTCTGAGAACTAGCCGACAAACAAGACGGACGGACGGACAGACAGGGCTCTATCGACTCGGCTATTGATGCTGATCAAGAATATATATACTTTATGGGGTCGGAAACGTTTCCTTCTGTGCGTTACATACAACCGTTATTCGCACAAATACAATATACCCTATTTACTCTTTGAGTACCGGGTATAATTAACTTTTGGCCACCAAAAGTGGTCATTGGGACCGTAGTGCAGAGGCCGCACACTGCAGAAGCAGAGTGTGAATGAGAGAATGTGAAAAAAAAAAACAGATATATGCTGCGGGACGGGGTGGGTTAAGCCAGTGCAAATTAATTTATTCATTCTGGCTATAATAATGGTCCAATCGTCATTCCCTACGAAATTGCGTTTTAGATTTCTTTAATCGTTAAAACTGTGGATACCGCAGATTCGCGATTTGCGGGGGCAGAAGGGGGCGGGGCGAAATTGTGAAATGCACTGGTTTCACTGTGAGCATACATCAGTCTGGAGGCATACTTTGGTGGCTCTAGCTCTTCTGAGAACTAGCCGACAAACAAGACGGACAGACAGACTCGGCTATCGACTCGGCTATTAATGCTGATCAAGAATATATATGCTTTATGGGGTCGGAAACTTTTACTTTTGTAAGGAGGTGCTGTCGGGTCGGCGTTCGGGATTGCTCGGCCTATAATTGTTTAGTGCGTGCTCGCTAGTTGATGCAAAAGGTTTTGTGCGGACGAATTTTTTCGATTATTTTTTAACCCTATTAACCGCCTATATTAAGCATATTAGTATTAGCTTATTAAAAAATTAAATTTAGACTAAAGAACTTAAACTAATTTTCTCGTAATGGGCAACTTTAACCTCCATGCCATCATAGGGTCATAGGATCATGACACTTACAGCGCAGAGCCCTTTCACACGCACTTGCAAACCGCATAGATACTAGAGCCATTTGGCCGACTGCACCTCCTTATTAATGTCTTCATGGATATGGTCATTCCCTACGGAATGGCGTTTTTAGATTTCTTTTATCTTCAAAACTGTGGATACTGCAGATTTTCGCGATATGCGGGGGCGGAAGGGGTCGGGGTGAAATTATGAAATACACTTGTAGCAGTGAGAGCATACAGCAATCTGGATGCAACATTTGGTGGCTCTAGCGTTTATAGTCTCTGAGAACCAGGCGCTCATCAAGACGGACGTACAGACGGACGGACAGACAGACATGGCAAAATCGACTCGGCTATTGATGCAGATCAAGAATATATATACTTCGTGGGGTCGGAAACGCATTGCAGAGTCACGGCAGAGGCAGAGGACGCAGACGGCAGAAGCAGAGTGTGAATGAGATAATGTGAAAAAAGCAACAAAAGCTGCTGGACAGGGTGGGGTTTAGCCACTGAAAATTAATTTCTTCATTGTGGCTATAATAATTATTATATCGGATCCCAATTTGGTGATCTCATATATATGGTCATTCATATAAAAGATGTAGAAAAAATGTAAAATTAAACATGTAAAAAAAAGCGTTAAGGTGCAGATGTAGCACTGAGTACCGGGTATAAAAGTTGTGACACGTAAGAAACATCTCACATTTCCCTTCTCGTTCAATTTCCAAATGCGGGATACATTTTAAAATAGCGGCTAGCGGGATTTAAAACTGCTACCCGTAATTTTAACTTTTTTAAAACATCTGCCGATTTCTAGTATTTTTATGCTTTACGATGCTACTTAAGTACTTTTAGTATTTTTTCCATTTGAATGGAAACAAAATATCGATAAGTTAAAAGTTCAATTTAATCGAGTTGTATTCTATCACTGAAGCAATATTTTACAATTAATGTTCAAATTAATTTCAAATGATGACTGAAGGTCTAATTACTACTGGTAAAATGTAAGTTAAAGAAGTTAAGAATATTTAGAATGTTTTTCTATGAATTAGGCGAAATTATTTAAATAGGTTAGTTAAATTAATGAAGTATTTATACTTCACTTATACTTATAAGTATTTATAAAATGGCTGTCTAAACTGTTGTTATTGGTTTACTAACATTTCCCGTGCAAACAAAATTCCAGAAATTTGATCGTTTCAGAAATTAGAATTACCCTAGGAAGAAAGTGATTCTAATTTACGAGATTCTGCTGTATTTTAAATCTAGCATAAATGCAAAACATTTCGATTTGCAAGCATATGCCAAGACAGCCAAACATACATAAGTCTTTGTCGTCTGCTTTTGCAAAAACGAACAAAATACCGGTTAGTGGCATCGGTGGCATATTTATAGATACGCACCATGCCGGAAAGAGAAATGCTGTCATAATTATGAAATGGCAGCAGAATGCTGCAGCTGACATGTTTGACAAACTTTATAGGCTCTCAAAATACTTGATTAATCCATGAAAATAATGTTTCAATACTCTAGCGTTCTTTTTGGCTGCCATAAAAATTGTCTGACTGTGATTAGTTTTTTTCAAAGGCTAGTTTACATACAATACAGAGTAGAAAGAAAAAAATATAATATGCATTTTCATAGTTAAAGTTTATTTGATTGTAAAGGCTACTTGGAAAGCATGTGTCAGCCGGTGTTTGTTTTCGAGTTAATTAATCAACTAAAAAAAAACTTTGGTAACATGCAAATGCTGGGACTGCGATTAATCGATGGCGGCCACAAGTGTTTACCATCACCAGAAATTCAAACAAACAGCGAGCGAGCTGCCAACTCGTTGCCCGACCCCGTTTCGCAGCACTGACGCCCGATATCCGATTAACGATAGGCGTGCGCATGGGAGGGTAAATTGGTTAGCGCTATGCAACACTCACCCGACTCTCCTGTCTCCAAGGCCACCATGTCCCAACAATTCTCACTGGCCAGCCTCTTCCTGTAGTTTTCGTTGTTCCGATCATATAGAGCCGTCTGCTTCACCACCGCCCGCAATAGCTTCACGTTTAATTCGATATTTGACATAGCACTCATAGGCAAACAAGACACTTTTCTAGCCTTATTTAATGCAAAAAACGAACGAAAAATACTGAGCCAAACGCAACTCACGCGCAGCAGCTATTTGTAAAACGGAGACTGAAAACAAGAGCGAGCGCACTCACACACACGCACAAGCTGGCGTCGTTGCAAGAGAGAGAGAGAGAGCAGAGAAAGACGACGAGGGCTTAACACTCGCTAGGCCAGGGCTACCGGTGAACGTGAGTGGGTAAATGATAATTCATTTATTTAGTACGCCTTAGAGGCTTCGCTGTTGGCTGTTTTAATTGGATGGCTAAGACTTAATGATTTTATATACTTGACCCTATCCATTCATTGTAATTGCTCACAGTTCATTACAATGTTGGTTTGAACAGTGATCAAACTACTTATTGCCAGCCTAAAAATGTTCACATACATTTTGTGCCTGGCAGTGCTGTGTGACTCGTCTCTCTTGCGGCGCAGCTGTTCTCGACACTGTGTGTGTGTGAGTTTCAGTGGTGGCGTCGTGCTAGTGCTCTCAAAGAGGGTAACATTACTTGGAATAATCTGGACCCCGTTGCCAACCGGTAAGAGCGAACGCCGTCCCTGTTTTTGTTCGGTTTGTTTTGTCATTTTCTGCGTTTTTAGTTGCCGGCCCATTGTTGCATCTGAGAATTTGTGAAAATCTAACGGACCTTACCATAAGTCTTGCATTGTTAGATTGTAATTCAACATTGGGCATTACGTTGCAGGAGAAGGAAATAAGTTGTAAGTTGTCTAGCGGCAATAGCAATACCAACTAAAGGTTTTGCTGTCCTCCCGCAGAGGTAGCGCGACAACCAGCTGGTGTGCGCAGGGGACAAAAGTGTCGCAAACAATATCGTCTCTTAACGTACTAAAATGAACACACGGGCTAGCTGCCGGACCCCGACTCCAAGTGGTAAGTGAGGATTACTCATGATTTTTATACGAAATTTAATTATTTTCCTTAACCAGATGTAGTGGGACTCGAAATCGGTAAGAGCAGCCTAAGCAAAACTCCAACTCCTGAAATAAAGGAAAAAAATATTAAAATATGCCGCCTGGTTGCCAAACAACCTTGCCTTTTTGATCGTTCTAATGAGGGGTACAATAGAAAGTCGTTCATAAAGAGAGTCTGGAGGGATATATCTCATAAGATGCATGATTCTAGTAAGTTTTCATCTACCCGATTTGTTCCATTTAAATTATTCTGACTCTGAATAGTCAATAGCTGCAAGGAGCGTTGGCGTAATATTCGTACAAGCTACGCCCGATCCATAAAAGATGGATATAATCAAACGCGTACGTACTATTTAAGCGCTGAGCTTGCGTTCCTCCGGCCCCACATCACACCAGGAGTTCCCAGACGTCCGCAGGGCCGACGCTCACGCGCTAATATTACTGGCCGTAACGTCGACACCAACGAGCAAATATTTGGCATGGAGCATGCGCAAGAGAAGTTGGAGCCCGACCACGAGCCCAACGACGAGACACGCGACGAGGATACGGAAAATTATGGAAGCAATGCCAAGGAGTATAAATACGAGAACGGAGCGGTAGCCGTGCCATGGCCATCCATCAATTCCGACGATGCCTTCCTGCACGGTATCCGTCCCGAGATGGAACAGATGAACTTTCGTCAGAAGCTTTGCTTCAAGCGCCGCGTGTACGCCTTGCTCGGAGAAATATTTGATAGTACAGAAGCCGCACAAATCTCCGACCACCAGATGGCTGCCCGTTCCAATGACAACGAAGCCATATCGACTTCATCAGCATCACTCGTGCAGGCTTCTCGTTCGACAAAGAAATCAAAGCCTAAAAAAGGATAATATTAGCAAAAGCTATAATTTACTACAAATAACACTGAAAAAGTTCAAATAAATACATTTGTATTTAGATGGGGCTATTGCATGGTGGAGTGGTAGGGGAGTAGATTGGAATCTGAATCGAAGATGAATTTTGATTTAAGTAGGATAGATAGGATTTTAAGTAGGATGTACCTGTTTATTTTTAGCAAATACTTTTTTACTTTTTTGTTTTCTGTTTCTTTAAATACATAAAATAATAATTATTAAAAATAGTATACATATGTATATATATAACGTTCCCGTATAATTTATGGCATAAAATATAATTGATTTATTTTTTTTGGGTTTTGTTATTTGTTTTGTTGCTTGTGGATTGGATTAGTGTAATACATGTATATTGTGTATAAGGAAATAGCGCTGCTAAAAAGTTTGCTTCTTAGTACCTCGTGTCTCGATTTTAACGTTTAAAAACCTAAATTAGTTTCGATTAGTTAAATATGTATATGTACAATCATCGACATTATCAGCGTGGTTATTGCAGCCGCATTGAAATTGAAAGAAATTAAACAAGTTAAATTTAAATTAATAATAAATGTGTATGAATATTTATATATATTTACGCATACAGTTTAAAGTTCTTTTAAATGCAAAAAAAATCGGTCGACGGTGCACTACATCGATTGGCAAGACCTGGATGGTTAGACCATCCTTCAGGATTAGGGTATGGTATCGGGTCCAACTACCATCAACTTAGAACTAACATAAATTGTGGCGCATTCTTTCCCATCTCCTTCTCTATCTTCACCGTCTCATGCAAAGCTGATCTTGACCGGTCCCAGCGGCAGCTGCTTCATATAGTTCCAGGCATCGACGCGCGTCATTCGCGCCGTTGAGGCACCATGAATGCTCAGGATCTCGTCGCCGTTGCGCACCTGGTTGGTCTTCTGGGCAGCACCACCTGTACAAGAAGAAAGCGAGTGGAAAGTGTTGGTGGTATTGTTCCATAGGATAAAACAGATATCCAGATATCCTACCCATGAACACCTTCTTGACAATGAGCGGACGATTTCCCAGCGGCGAGTCGAAGCCTCCTTCAATAGAAAAGCCCAGTCCACAGCTATCCTTGACAATCTCCACGCATCGAGTTCCTGCTCCAATAGCCGCCACATCATCTGCTAAAGTGAGAAGCAAGCTTCGATTAGAATCCACCTCCACGACTGTGTGACCAGTATCTGTTTCTCCTCACCCTGAGCCCGTATCTCTGCAGCGATGGCATTCCGTGCCTCGGCCGCCCGTTCCAGCAGCTCGCTGGTGCTCAGCTTGGCGGCATCTCCACGTGAGAGCTGACGTCGTGCACGAATGCCAGCAATGGTGGCCTCGGAATCATCGTCATGCAGACTGGCCGGGTGCTGGGGACTGCTGGACCCAGTGCTGGGGCTGGGCGTTGTAGTCACTGGCGATTCGTCACCTCCTGACTCTGCCTCATTCGACACGATGTCTAGATCCAGGTCCAGAGATCGGGACGCCTTGTGGTAGTTTCGCTTTCGCTCGTACTCCAGATCCGTCGGCTTCTCGTTGAGGGAGCTAAGTGAGCCCAGCGAGGAGCGTTTCTTGTTCAGAGCCTTCACAATCAGCGACTCGGAGCGGGTGACGACCAGCACCACCTCCGGACGGGGTGTCTAAGACGAAAACTTTTGGTAAGATTCTGAATTATCTGAACTCCGGCCACGGACTCACCTTGAGTACGCTGATGGATTCCCGATGCGTCAGGCCCCGCATGCTCATCCCATTTACGGCCAGGATGCGGTCCCCTTTCTTCAGGCGTCCATCCTTGGCCGCTGGCGTGTTGCTCAAGATCTTGTGTATCTGTAAAAGAGGGAGAGATAAAACGCCATTACGACTGGCTAATCCTGATCCCTTGCAAAAGACGCCACTACTCACCGTTATCTCCTTGGCCTCGTAGTCGGAGCCCCCGGCCAGGGTGATTCCAATGCTGCTCTCCGGGTTATCCCTTTGCAGGACAATGATGAAGGCCTCTGGGCTCTTCAGCGGCGGATCGGCCTCCTCCACAATCTGCTGCACGTCCTGGGCCGTGATCAGGCTCTGGTTGCTGCCCAGTGAGGAGAAGCTGCCGAACTCTGTCGCCGTCTCCAGGGTGGTGCTTACGTTCTGGGTGGTGGAGCTCACACCAGAGGAGCTTGAGGCTAGCGAGTCGAGCGAAGAAAAGCGCTCGTGGTGGGGCTTCGCGGTGGCCACAACTGGGTGCAATGGAGTGTGCAACTTTTGGAGTACCGGGGTCTGGATACCGGCTGCCGCTGCTGCTGCTGCCGCACTCCTCTCGAACTTCTCACGCAGTTCGGCTGTGCTTTGGGACTTGGGCGCCTCCCGCATTGGCTCATAGGCCCGGAGCAGGGCCGGCCTCTCCAGAACCTGCATCTGGAGCGACTTTGGCTTGGCCTGCTGGCTGGAATCGGCTTTAAAGCTGGCTTTGCGCTCCTCGTCGATGAACATGGCACTGATCTTCGCCGGCGTGTCTGAACGCCGGCTGCTGTCGTCCGTGTCCGAGGTCAGTTCAACGTAGGCGGCCACGTTGATCAGCTTGTCTACCACCAGCTGCTTGACATGCTGAGGTTGGTGCGTCTGGTGCATCTGCTGCTTGTAGCTGGGGCCGGGCTTCATGCGGCGCCCGGCTAGGGTGCAGACCTCGCCATCGGTGCTGTCGTTGTCCTCCTCCTGGCCGCGGTTCTTCGCGTTCCGGCACTTGGCCGAGGCCAGGATGCTCTTTCTGTTTGAGAGGGCCACTGGTTCGCCGCTGCCGCTACCGTTCACCTGGTTCTTGAGCACCCGCCGGGTCAGATCCAGAGCCAGAGTGCTTCCCAGGGAGCTGCAGCTGGCCTGGGAGCCCGCCGAGGAGCCCGACGTCAGAGTGGAGGTGTTGGAGCTGGCTATCGAGGTGTTCGTCTCCGAGCTGAGGGTTCGTGTGAGGGCAAACTTCTCGGGGTGCGTCGCCACCCGGGCCGTGCTGGAGAAAACCGAGTCTGTGTCGCTTTCCTGGTCGGGTGGGGGAAGCGCCGGCGGCGGTGCTATCAACCTGCAGATGGGATGAACGGGGGCCGTGATGCTGGTGGGGGTGGTGGTCAGAGGGGCGCACAAGGAGGTGCGTGGCGGCTTGGCCGGAGGCTGGGACAGCTGCTGCTCCAACGGACGCCGCTGGCCAGAGGAGAAGATGCTGCGGTATGTGCTGCTGCCTATGCAGTTTACGGCGAGGCCTCCATTGCTACGGCAGCGGGTTTCGCCCAGGCCGCTGTCGGTGCTGTCCTCCCCGCTGGCCGCCTTCACCTGGCTCTTGATCTCTGGGAGGTCGAGGATGGGCTCCAGCAGCTGCGGCCTCTCCGGGATGACTAGGCCCCTTAACTTGGACAAGCTGCGGCGGCGCTGCTCCAGGATGTTGGTGATGGCCGCCTTCCGGTTGGCCGCCTCTCCCTCGCCTGAGAAGCTTATCCTTCGCTCCACCGAGGAGGCGGATGCCGAATAGGAGCCGCAGTGCGTCCTGCGTGGCAGAGAGGCGTAGTTGGAGGCGTAACTGTAGCTGGGATTGGTATTGGGACTGGAATTGGCCGTGTGCAGAGAGTACATGGAGTCGGCCACGTGCAGCTGGGGCAGCTGCTTGGCCAGCTGGTATTGGCGCTGCACGTCGTTCAGGTTCTCTACGCTCATGGCGCGCGTCTTCAGGGAGGGCGCTGGAGTAGACGAGCGGGTGTCCAGCAGGTTCTCGCTGCTCCTGTTCAGCGGCTTCCGCGCGAATGTGGAGACAGCAGTTGGCATGGTCATTGTCATGGTCGGGGTGGCCGGCGGAATCGCGTCCAGCTCGTTGTTGGATGAGAACATGGCGATTTTGTCGCGCACGGACTTTTCCGATTTCTCGTCCTTGCGCCAGTCGCTGGGCTTCCGCGGGGCGCTCGCACTCAGAGAACGCTGGTAGTCTCTTGCCAGGCCGGTCGGCGTTTTCGTCTCTGTGGCGTTTTTGGAGCGGGCATCCTCCACGTTTATTACTAGATCCTGGCGGTATACTTTCCTGGGCACTGTCGGCGGAGGCCCAGTTTTGGGAAGTGGCGGTGCTCCAGTCGCCTCCTCTTGGGTGCTGTTGTTGTTGTTGTGCTCGAAGGAGTGCTCGCCCTTGCCTTTCAGCAGCACAATTTGTGGGTTTTGGTGCATGTGTGAGGGATGCATGATCAGAGGCTCGCTAAAGTTCGGTGGAAACTCATGGCCGTCGGGCGGCAGGCGTGAATAGGTGGGCGGTGAGGCGTAGCTTAGGTACTCCTGTCCCACCAGATGCTTTGTGGTCGCCTGCAGTTGGTGTGTGGCTGTCGTTGTGGTTGTGCTATGTTTGGCTGAGGCTGTGGCTGTGGCTGAGGCTGAGGCGCTGCTCAGCAGCTCCATTTTGTTTACGGCCTTCGTTTTAGTTCCTGTTCCTGTTCCGGTTCCTATTGAGCCTGCGCCAGCTACTGCTCCTGTTCCAACTGGCGACTTTTTCTTCTGATTGATGATCGTTGCGGTTTGGATGTGGCTGCTGCTGATGTTGTTGTTGTTGTGGCTGTTAAGGGCACCAAGATCTGCAAAGGGATTGGTAGAGCGGGAAAAAGGTTTTGGTTAGCAACACAAAAACAGACACAAGGATCAAGATATGAAGGATAGATAAGATTAGACGTTAGCGGCTTCTGGGGCTGGATTGGTAAATATATTCAATTAAGGTGACAAGATAGAGCTAAAGAATTACTTTGATAGGAATGACACCTAAGGAAGTGATTGAGGAAAGGCATTAATGTTAGATTGCTGGGGGGTTGATTATATTCGTTTCATTTTAGAGATAATATGAGTTGGAGTAGAACGCTGTTGGATGATTTAAGACAAAAGAGAAGAAACGACGAAAGAGTCAGTACATTATATAATTATTTCCAAAACGCCATTTCCATTGGCCAAAAATATCATTTAAGTAATGCGTAAATTAGTTTTAGGGGAGAGAGAGAGATCTCTTACAAAACACGAATAACTATCCATCCCAGCGCGCCGGGGGAAACTTTCGCTTCACCAAGCCTCCCAAATAGTTGTCATTATGCGCTAACACCGGAACAAAAGCGAATCTCGTGGATACTCGTGTTTGTTTCTTATCTCTCTGCCACGCAGGGCAATTAAAAACCACAGCAGC